AGTTCAGGTTTGCATGAAGCTGGATGACAGCATGCCCAGGAGACTACAGGCTGTCATTAAGGCTAAGGGTTGCCCGACTAAGTATTGATAGTTGTGTAAATACTGTCATACTAACAGCTGTCTGCATAATTTTTGGTTGATTGTAATCTATTACATACCTTTCTATCAAAGTTATCTAACATTATCAAGCTGAATTTGTTCTTACACAGTTTAACTCCGAGTTCTTGTCATATTTTATTACCATTTTCTAAACTATAGCAAATAAACTGTGATGTAATGTGAGAAATGTTGAAGGTGTCTGAATAAATTTTGGTTTGACTGTATCTATTTGATGAATAAATGAAGTTAACCAACTAACATTATACATACTCTTTTGGTTTCTGTACCCAATATTTAAAAAATGTACAAATGCAATAAAAATATTGGTATCGGTACTCTGTATCGGCAAGTACCAAAAATAAAAGTATCGTATCGGGCAGGTACTGGAAAAAGTGGTATCGGTGCATCCCTAATATGTTTAATTTAAGATTTGCATAGAACTGGCTTTGATTCTGCTAAAGTGAACTGAAGAAAACAACGAGAAAGATGTTTTCTTCAGATGAATGATGCCAAACAGCACTGATTTGTGTTCATCTTGATGGCGACAAGATTTAATAAAATAAAAAAAGCTAATTACTGAATTTGATCTTTTAACATCACTGTTTTAAAGGCACTTTAAGTGTTTTCACATTAAACGTTTTAGAATGTCCCGCTCCCGCTGTTTTTAGCGATTGCTTTATTTGGATTGTAAACGGCCAAAATGCATTATGTTCACATAACGTTGTTTTATTCTTTTCAGAAGTGATCTAAATATTTGTGGACTGGAAACAGAAAAGTGACAGGCTTGAGCTGCGGTTCTATGGATTATTTCTAAACCACTGCACTTCCTTTGTGAGTCAATACTGCATTAAGAGGCATGGCTTTTACCACAGCACTGTGATTTAGGGGTTTGTGAGCATTTATCAGCAGCACCAAAATGTAAAAATCTTTAATCTACTATCTATACTGATATTATTATCGTCATGACTACAGTTGAATAACACGCACTAAAATAAACGTAGCATTCTCAAATACTGGCATTATTTAAAAAATGTTCATATAGAGCAACAGTAAAATCATTATACAGTGACACTAAGAAAAAGTCAAAATTGTAGGTGAATTTACTGACTTGATCGATTTAACATCCATGTGATGAAACAGCTAGATAAAATAAAACAGCTCTTAAACAACTATTTGCATATGCTATTGCATAAGAGTAAGGGAGGAGAACAAGATCAGTTTATAGAGACCATATCATGGCTATACTACGCTAATGCTATATGTAGCTATTTTGATTTGTAGGTCACTAAACTGACAAAAACCTTTAACATTAGGGATGAGCGAGCAGGAGTACTCAGAAGTGACAGCAATGACTGGTTATGAAAACACAATAATTCTTTGACTTCTAAACTACTTTTAAACTTTGGAACAACACAGGACACCTTTTTTGCATTCAAAAACTCTTAAATTAACTCCTGTTGTTACACAATTTGACATTATAGCCATCTCAAAATCAAACCTAAATTCCCACCTGAGCTCTTGTCTGGCAGGCGACTGATCCTCCACACCACAGATCTGAAGGCCTGTTCGTATTTCGCTGTGCCGAGCGTGACCCTCATGGCCGGTTCGGACCCTGATGTACTGGTTGAACCAAAACTGGCTCCTTTATTAAAGCGAGCTTTCAGGGACTTCTCTCCTGTCACACTCTCCCGCTTAAAGTTCTTTGCCCAAATTTCCGGTATGGGGTAACGGATAGCAACATTTTCACATGGTATTAATGTTAAAGGATCCCGATTGGATGAAAACCCTGTTGACATCACCAGCCAGGACTGCACCTCCACTTCCGCACCCCTGACGCAAGTGACTGTTCTCAGAGTGAAGGGAAGGGTTTTTTCGGCAAACGCCGTACGGAAACGCAGCAGTTCAAAGTGACGACCAACCAGTGGGCTAAATGTAATGGCTCGGGACTCTGCAAACTCTAACTGGTCTGCACACTCATGCAGTCGACTATCCCGCAGTTGAATCCAACGTGACGTTGAGTTAGGAATTATGTCATGCCGAGAAACCACCTCTTTACCTTTGACCTGGACATCATTGAGGCCGATACTGCAAGGTGGGGATCCATTCAAGAAGGCAAGCATATACACGCGGGTCAAAACTTGCTGCTCCAAGATACGGCTGTCCCCTTTGGAGACAATCCCATAGAAGTTATCCCTCACCTCCACATGGACCTCCTCCTCAGTGTAAGTCGTTGGCCAGTTTAGACCTTCTTGATCCACTGAGAGACCCACAAGCCTCTCCTGCAGAGCATGTTGAAAGCTCAAAAAGTCTTGGTAGTTTGTTGTCCCAAGCTTCACCACTTGCTCTCTCACAGGCATATGAACCACAGTGACCTTGGACTGGATCTTCCTTTTCTCTTTGTAAACCACATGGTCTACACTGATGGTATGAACACGGCCATTCTCGTCGTAGTTTTGGAGCTTGGGTTCAGATATTTCATGCTGGGAGTTCAGCTGGAACTCTTTGAAGGGCTTCTCCAGTCCTTTCTCATAGAAAATTTGCAGCTGGCCGCTGTTCGTCAACCTGACAAATATTGGTCCCCAGTGACGTGAGGACATGATGTTCTTCTTCTCAGGGATGCGCAGGAGCATGGGCCAGCCTTCCCGAGGAGTCATATGGTCTGGTTCATAGGTTGAATCATCGGAGTCAACTACCTCTACTGAATCATCTGGTAGAGTAAGACTACCGTCATGGTCAGGGTCAGAGATGTGTATATTCCTGAGCTGATCCAGACCATCCACAGGAAATCCTGATGGGATACTATCTTTTGCAACTACAGAGTCTTTCTTAGATGAAAAAAGCAATAGAGACTCCCTTTTTATACCAGCATCTTGATACTCAAAGAATGGTGAGCAGAAGGTGGACACATCTGATGCCTCCTGACACAAGCCAATGCCTTGGGATGTTTTCAGGTCTGTTTTGTCAAAATAGGCACTGAAAGGGTTTATAGGAGAAGGTTGTAGGTTTGAGAACTCATCATCCAGGAAAGGGTTTTTATTGTTGTAAGGAACACTGTTGTTCGATGGTGTGTTATTAAAGACAAAGATGGCATTGGTGCCATCAGGGGTTAAACCCAGGATGTCTCTCTCTGTCTTCTGGCCACAAAAAGAAGAGGAGATCAGATTGCTATTGGCATCCTGCAGAGGAGAATTGTTGAGGTTATCCAGTTTTATATTAGACTGTCTCCCTGGAGGTTGGAAAACCGAGTCCTCATCATCATCAAAAGTAACCCAGCTGGCAAAGCGGTTGGAGGTGACATAAGATTGGCCATTACTGTGTTGGTTGTTTGCTGTCCAGTTGAATGAATCCATGTTCATTCCTTCATCCTCTTGGCACACAGAAGAATCTAACAATAAAAAAAATAAGACAGAGCTGTTTCAACACTTCTAGATGAAATTTGAGCAGAAAGAAAGGCACATGTCGTATATGAGAGACATAATCTTATAAACAAGAAAACGGATGACCTCCTTGGTCTTTCCAGTGTCCTTTGAGCCTATTTCTGAAACTTAATGGGAGTCACAATGGTTGGATTATTTTGGTCCAAATCAAGAAATGACTGAAAGACATTTCCACTAACAGCAAAGAGGCAGATTCCAATCAACCATGATTCATAAGCATGCATTCACATACATTCTCTTTTTCCACATGCTACGCATTCATTTCTATATTGATATTAATATTTTATGAGAAGAAGTGTAAGCGATTACACGGAAATTAATTTGTCATTCTGAGAATTGTTTTTTTTTTTTTTGCACTAAGGCAAAATGGATCTAATTTCAGGAACAATGGGATAGCTGAACAATCAATTTCTTTCAAATTTTGTGATAAGGTCACAGAAAACAGCTTGAATTAATTTGTGCAATTCCCCTACTTCTTAACTGCTAACAATTTGACTATTTACCACATTCAGATTATAGACCTCGACTCAGTAAGTATGTTTACATGCACTTTAAGAGGTCGATGTCCCACTAATACAGCTTTTTATGTCATGTAAACACTTTTCATTTGAAACTGGAACGATCAATGATTCTGAATGAACCTGCCAAAAAAGCATAAGTAAGAGCAAAACTATCATTCATTAATGAATCCTTCTGCTCTCTTGAACCAAGCTCAAACTCTTGTCTCTTCTAGTTCTCCAATGCCAAATAAGAGACAGTCTTCACCTGTTGCTAGGAACCAGCATTCCCCACCTCAGACCTACTTACTGGAACGATCAATGATTCTGAATGAACCTGCCAAAAAAGCATAAGTAAGAGCAAAACTATCATTCATTAATGAATCCTTCTGCTCTCTTGAACCAAGCTCAAACTCTTGTCTCTTCTAGTTCTCCAATGCCAAATAAGAGAGACAGTCTTTACCTGTTGCTAGGAACCAGCATTCCCCACCTCAGACCTACTTTCTCTGCCAATGCAACAAAGCAGTAAGTGAATGGTCTGTCTCGCATGCTTAAAACTGGCATGACTGCACTATGCAATAAGAGCATACATATGTACACACAGTCTTTGACACACTAACTCGCAAACAACAATTTTTAGAAACTGAAATCCAATAAACAAATAATAAAGCTATGCACCTAATTTATACTTGAATTGTTAAGGGTTAACTCTTTCCAGTCTCTTAAAACATCGACTTTTAAATAACAGAGAATGTGTGTACTATGGCTTGTGGCTTTGTTAATCTTCTCATTTTAGTTCAACAGGGTTCATCACACTACAAATCAACTCTAACTGAAACGTACTAACCGTTACTAGAAAGTAATACAAGACTACAATACAAGACATGTGCACACACAGAAGTGGCCACAAACATAAAGAGACTCAGATTTCAAGGCTCATATCTTATCAGCCCTGGAGGGAGAAGGTTAAAAGATTATCCCAGCTCAGAAAAAACGCCATCTCCCAAACATGAATACTTAAGAACAGTATCTCCAAAGCAAGTTTGTTCATGTTCTTACAAGGGATACATCAAATCAGCCAGAGTGTTAGATGCAAATTGTAACCATCAGAACAAATGTTCAAGGTTCAATTACGTTCAAGTTAAATTCACAAAAAAACTAATTGACATCTATATTTTTACTTATCTCATTTTTTTTTGTTCTAACAAAGATGCCGTTTAATTTCAGAACACAAGTATACATTGCAAGAATAGTTATTAATCAGTATTTTATTTTTTTTTCGAATAAAAAAACTAAACATCCAAGACTGATTTACTTATACTGCATACATTGTTTTCTGAGAATACGTTTCTGAGAAGATTTTTTTTAAAGGGGTCATATGATGCGATTTCAATTTTTCCTTTCTTAATGTACAGTATATGGAAAATAATGTGTTTTTTGAACCTTAAACCGCATAAACACATTTCATTACACCAAATACACAAAATAATGTTCTTTTTAGCAACATCATAAGACCCCTTTAACATAACTGCCATTTTTTACATTTTTACTTGAGGTTTATGCTTGTAACAAGAACATGATCTTACACAGCTTTGCTTCTGAAGTAAATTTATCTTATTTTAATTATTTCCTGGACAAAAAATATTAAGAATTAATTTTTTTTTTTTGCAGTCTAGAGAGTCTGTGCTAACGGAGTAAATCGTGAAATCAAAATGTTGTTGCTAAGCATCAGCTTACTGGTATTTCTTCAAACTTCCAGGCTATATAAGAAATGCCAGGGTGAAGACTCCAACAAATGCTCTCACCCCTCTTCACCCCTCCAGACTACCCAGTCTTAAAATACAGAATTGAAAGATGAATATATGCTTAATCAGCATTAAAAGATCACGTTATATATTTCTTAAAAGAGGAAGGAAAAATGGCTAAACGAAAACTTTGCAACAACCATAAGCATTCATAAGCTAAAACGTTCATACAAACTCTGTAAAAGCAACAGCGCAAGGAATAAAACTCTCCCCAGTAGAGCAGATTTGAGTCCAGGTGCTAAAGAGAGGAAACAGATGGGACACCAACTGTGAGGCTTCACTACGGCAGCATGCAGTAAGAAGCAGGTCACATGACCTCCTCTGTCCGTGAAGTGCCAGCACAGACATGTACATGCCTGTTGGTCTGCCTGCCTCCCTCCCTCACAGGAGGAGTATAAACTTTGACAGATAGTTGTCTTTACAGAAACCATACCTCAACACTCACACAGAAAGGCATTCTTTAAAATATGATTGGTGGAAAACAATGTCAGAAAGTCATCCGCACTTGTGTGTGTTCTCTCATGTTTGTCTGTAACCATGTGGAGAAGTGATTCTGTCCATTGAATATCCCGATTATTTGTTATATAAAAGAGAAGACATTAATGTGGAAATGTTATACAGAAACTGACTCATCAATAACACGATGGTGTGCAATAAACAACTATTTTTTACAGCTACAAAATGTGCAAGTCAACTGCCATCTGACTGCAAACTAAGAGCTGAGACAAATGGTTGACAGGTAATGTTTGCGCTGCTGGTTTGTTTATTTTATTAAAGTTTTCTTTAAATGTTCGCCGGTTCCCATCTCCTTCTTCCCGTGACTACGAACGATGTTACAATAGTATATATATTTATTTATGTATATGTTAATATTAATATAGAACGAAAGTTTTTTTTTTTGGAGCATCTGGGAGTTGAAGAAATTAAAGAGGGTGTAGCATTTCTATCGCAAAAAGGTGGCCAAAAATAAAAAATTATGTGGATATTTGAATTAAATGTTTGGTCAATATTAAACAAGGATTTGATCGTCCTGTAAGTGTAACAACAGCAATTATTGGTGCCCTTTGCAGGCATTTGTGATAATGCAAATTGTTTATTTTGTATTACATTATGTATTTTAACAGTGTTATTCAATGAAACCATAATTATTATTAATTAACCAATCATTATTGCCTCATTGTTTTTATATAATACATTTAAAGTCATGAAAACTAGAATATTAAGTCAGATACGTTGTTGTTGGTGGTGAAATTATTATCGACATTAAAACACATTGCTAACGTCAACAGTCAAAAAAGTTTTACAGGATTATGAACATAGCTACCTGAACGTGATGCACGGGCTTCATCCTGGGCTTTTTTGTTTTTCTTTTCTCTGCGCCGGACTGCACTGATGTCTTTTCCCTGATATAGCCTAGTTGTCCATTAATTATATTGATCATTTGTATTCAGCCGCAAACATGAGGTGAGAGCGAGTCGTCCGCGAGGGGCTGCCGCTTTACTTTCATTTTGTGTTTGTTTATTTTATTAAAGTTTTCTTTAAATGTTCGCCGGTTCCCATCTCCTTCTTCCCGTGACTACGAACGATGTTACAATAGTATATATATTTATTTATGTATATGTTAATATTAATATAGAACGAAAGTTTTTTTTTTTGGAGCATCTGGGATGGTGCCCTACGCAAACTGCGTACTCTGTGTATAGGGAGCGGCGGTACTGTTTGCACTGATGTCTTGATCTGCCTCGAAATCTCTCAATCCTTTCTAGCACTAAGCTACTGACCTTTATTTTGCTGGTTTCAGATCAGTCCTTCTAAACAAAACCAGAGCATTAACTGGGGATTACTTCAGAATTAGCCTTACTATGCACCCATTCATTTGCATTAATGTTCACATCAAATGCATTTATTGATTTTAGATTGGCACTCTTACTGTAATATTACTTTTGAATCATAATTTTTCACCATCGCTCTAAACCTTAGAATTAACATGAAACGATGTTCACAACCCATTTCACTTCCCTAATGTAATTCAACAACAAATTGGTAGTATCAGAAATATGGAAACATTTTTTCCACAGAGAATGAACCTGAAAAGTTTTATCTGTATTATATTTTGCTGAGAGACAAACATTTTTTTATTATTTATTATTATATATATATTTTTTAGTTTAATTATTTTATTGGAATAATGTGCATCAATGTATCATTCACAAGACTTTGAATGTATACTAAATTTAGAAAATACACACAGTTCATTTTTTAATGTTAGCTTTAAGACATCTATCTATATGTAAATGAGTGGGATCCTAGTATTTATTTAACTATTTTAACTATTATTTATTTCATTATTTTAATTATAACTATTTAAGCAAGAGAAATGCTGCTTTCCAAACTCACCACACCATGTTGGTGAGAAGACACAAGAGACATCTCTGACAGGCAGAGCTTTCCCATAATGTGAAGCGGAGTGATAGCTGCAGGCGTCACAGGAGGCGGGTTTTTTGCAGGGGTCAAAGGTCACAGACGGTGAGGAAGAGTGCGAGATTCCCAGCAGGATGTGCTCTTAAACAAGCTGTTGCTCTACTCTATAACCTCTGCTGATCTGAGATTACAGTAACTTCTGCTGTAGTGTTGTCACGGTACCAAAATTTCAGTATTCGGTACCAGGATAGCGCATCAAGAACCGGGTCGACCGGGTACTCGGTACCACCGGTACTTAAGAAACCCTGGTACCGTAACGTTTTCATTTTTTTAGTACCGACTTGGTACCGAAATACCGGGTCTTTTGACAACACTATTCTGCTGTTCTCTGTAGAGATTAGACGACAATGCCCTTCTGTGTGGACTCCACTGGATATGACAAAACCACATTCTCACACGCTTTCTCTTCCTCTCCTGACCGCGCACACACACACCCATTGCATCTCTATGGACAACAGCATTCTTATGCACCACCGGAAATGTAATGAGAAGAAAATGAAAATGTGCATTGTATATCAAATGCACTGCACGTCCTGATAAAAAAACATCATCAGCCATCTGTGCCTGTAAATTAGCCCAACACAAAGCTTTCGTAAAGACCTGGCTTGCACCATACAGCTGCATAAACACTCATATTCACTCGTAACCAATAGTCTCGGCTTACAATGGCACATTCATAACTATAATGTATCATTCATGAATATACGCTGTAAATCACATAAGGAATCCTTCTAAAGACAACATCTGACAAACAGTGCTTAAAGTAGACAAGCCACGTGCAATGTGTATAAACAGTGAATGCAACTCAGAGAAATTACAGCAGAGAATAACTATGTACACAAATAATCAGCAATTACACACACATTTACACTCAGTTCAGCTGTAAATAAACAATCATGGAACAACACCCAAGGGTCACATGTTGAAAGGAAAACAAACAGAACGACACCCTGCTGCCAGGTTTTAGCAGAGTGCACATCAACACAGTGAGAGCAGGAGCAAAGGCCAGCGGGTAGGGCGAAAGTGGGTAGAGTAAGCACATTTTCAAACAATTTGACGTCTAATGGTGTCTCCCACAGACAGGCAGTAGGGAAAATCCCAAAAAAAACAAATACTTCTACAAAGACTTATTCATAACGATTGCTATTGCTCATACATACCCCTAAATATTAAACATTCTCATATAACTAGACCTTTTGTACTACAGGCATGATATCTCAAATCTTCAGGTTTGATGAGGAGAGGGTCACTATTACATTTTAATATCATCTGACTTTTAATTTTCACCAAGAGGCCAATGCAACGGATGAAAAAAATCCCAGACTTGAACTGAAGGAACAACCCAAGCCATATCAAACGAACAGAGACCTGAGAATAGCATTTTTTGAGTAAATAACCACAAAGCAACCACAAAGAACAGCTTAGCAACCACATAGCAATGCCCTGGCAACAAACTTTAACACTCTAGCATCTAGCAATTTTTTCTACTCTTCCTCAAAAAAAAGTAAAAAACTAATCAACACAAATTATTCATTCCCTTAAGCTACTATCCAATGTGACCACAAACTTTGAATGGTAGTGTATACTATTGTGAAATTTTTTTTATGAGATTTAAGTCATAATGTTTTGAGAATAAAGTCAAAATTACAAGAATAAAGTCGTAGCAATACGAGAATAAAGTAAAAATATTTTGAGAATAAAATCAATTCTGGTGGCCTTGCAACTGATTTGAATATATGTGGGATTATTAGCTGAAATTATACCATGTGTCATACTCGCAGGGACAGTATGCTTGGAAATAATATTTCACATCTTCAAATGCATTTATTATTTGTAGAGCGCCAACCACCCAATAATAGCAACAAGCTTTGTGCTTTTGGTACTTTTATTATAAAACAAAGTCTCAACTTTCAAATTCTGTCAGTTTTATATAGAAATACAAACAATACGTTTTACAATAATGTGTTTTTCATGCTCTTTAATGTGGGGTGACAGACCGCTTTATTCACCTCAGTTTAAGCAGCATAGAATCAATCATCTTTTACAATCATCGATTGTATTCATTCGTTTCATTAAATTATATAATTCTGACTTTATTCTCAAAATATTTAGACTTTATTCAGATAATTGTGATTTTTTTTTCTCAAAATATTTCTTTAATCTCGCAATCTTCGATTTTTTTTATTTTTTAACATGGCACTAAAACCCATCGTAGTTTTCTTTTTCTAACTTAAGAAAAAAAATTACAAATATTTATGCATTCCTGAACAAGGAATAATTTTTAAAGAACATTCTTATTTTTTTTCTTACAGACTCAGACATGATCAAACTCCAGTGCAGCTTGTCGTAATTACACACTATTTAGTGACTATTTAGTGTAACATTTGCTTTAAAGGGTTAGTTCACCCAAAAATGAAAATTAGCCCACAAATTACTCACCCTCAAGTCATCCTAGGTGTATATGACTTTCTTCTTTCAGACAAATCCAGTCAGAGTTATATTAAAAATTGTCTTTGATCTTTCAAGCGGTTTAATGTCACTCAGCGGGTGTTGCATGCATCAGTCCAAAAGAAGTTAAATAAAAAGCTAATTTTCATTTTTGGGTGAACTAACCCTTTAACTAACACTCAATATCATGCACTTCTTTTCACTCCTGCCTCAAGTGAAAATTCTGTTGCAGTGACTTCCCACACTGAGAAATGAAGCATGCTACATTTTAATAAATAAAACCGTCTTAAGTACCTCACCCTCTCCTGTCTCCATAGAAACCCTGGTCTGAGTGAGCTATCGCTGGAGGCCCGAGATGGATCGCGTAGGAGCGCTAACCGCTCCACCACAAATTACTTGCGAGAGAGAAAGCGTCCTGCCTCAAATCAGCACAGCGTTCCTTCAGAGCCACCATCACTCACACGAGAGAAGCGTCTGAGGAGCAGCTGTCACAGACCGTGTGAATTTATTTGTCCCGATTCGTCCATCATTTACTCCTAAACCTGCCGTCTTTTCATTCCGCCTGCGCTCCTGAACGCGACCCTGGAGGCTGTGCTGAGCAACGGAAGGGATTTATTGATGGATAATTCAGCGTGTGAAGCATTTCCTGTGTGATTCTCACTTCCTTCAATCTTCTCACGAAGGGACAGACTTTAATTACTGCTTGGATGGATATAAAACCGCCACTTACAGATGTTCGACTGAGGAGAGTTACCCATTTATTAACTAGTAGGTATGACTCTGTGCGTGTGGTACTCACTAGGAGAGTGGGGACAGGAGGGTGTTTGACTGGGTGGCTCTTCAGTGTTAAGAGAGGGCAGGTCACAGGAAGACGCCCCCATGCTCACGGAGCTCTGCTCCTCTGATTGGGTGGTCCAGCTGCTCTCTGATGGGGGAACGGCACTCCAGAAACTGGCCAAAGAGCAAATGCTGTGCCTGGGACCTGCAATAAAACAAATGTCTTTAGAGATATAAATTTAGGATACATAGTCATAAAAATTACTGCCATCTTCACAAACAGGCAAAATTCTGCATTTAAAAAGGAAAAGTTTGCCCCCCAAAAAAATGTTTATGCACATCCTTTATGCAGGTTCATATGTAAGCAGCTGTTTTCAAATTTAATATATTTTAAAATGTAATTTATTCCTGTGATGTGAAAGCTGAATTTTCAGCATCATAACTCCAGTCTTCAGTGTCACACGATCCTTCAGAAATCATTGTGATATGCTGATTTTGTGCTCAAAAAATATTTCTTATTAACTTTTTAATTAAGTCTAAGTGTAATTAAGGAAGTCTTTTCTGTCACTTTTGGTCAATTTAATGCATCTTTGCTGAATAACTTAATTTCTTATTATATGTATTAATTCATATGTATTTATATCTTTAAAAATAAAATAATAAAATATTACTGCCCCCAAACATTTGAATGGTAGTGCCGATAATTATCACCATGTATTTATTTGGGTTTTATTCCATTTTAATTTCCTGAAATAATTTTCCTGGTACTGAACTACTGAAGTTCAAATTACTAGTCTGGCTCCTATTTATAACTGCCTCTTATTTATTCCTATTTATTACTGGAACTGAATTTGAAACTAAAGGCACTGTCATTTTTTATTCAGAATGGCACACAACTCGGTATGCATGTGTGAATACGGTAAATGTGTGTCGCTAATGAACAGGTGTTATCATTGAATTAGGAACGAGACTATTAAATATTCACAGTGGGGAAAAGTGCTTTAGTAAAAGGATTAAACATCAAGGGTGAGGCGAGATAACACAGCATACTGATGTGTATCAGCCTCGTCAAACAATCGAATCAATCTACTCAATGATTTTAATTAGCACTGCTGTAATTGCTATCAGAGGACATATTACTTATGTTATGAATTACTGTGTAGAAGAACGCTTTGAAACAATGATAGAGAGAATACAGCAGTACTACACAGATGATGGTTTCGATTCAGGTTGGAATAAATATGTGAAATCAGATGACATACTTCCAGTTCTTTAAATACACTGCTGATGCCTAATTAAACAATTGGGATTCAAAAACATTCCAAACACAGGATGTAACAAATCCAACCGCACAGTTGTTTTTTTCTGGAGCACAATTAAAAAAGTTCACAAAAGTAGTTATTTAAAACTTTATGACCTACTTAATAAATAAAGTTCACCATTAAGAAGGACTTGAAATGTTACAAGTAAAACATAAACATTTTGGGGTATTCAGCACAACAGATCAATTGTGTAAGTCTTTACACAAGGTATAAAAAACCAATAGAGAAGTGGCTTGATGCAATGAATTTAGATCATCTGAGTATTACATAAAGACAAAAAGATGATGACGCGACGATGGTGATGATGATGATGATGATGATGATGATGATGATAAGTCTAAGCAAGACACTACTGCATCATCAGGTTGAAAATAAAAGTACAGTCAACTAACTCTAAGAGGAATAATGCACAAGCAGGATTACAAATTATCACTTATCACAAAAAAAAAATAACCTTGGTTGGTAACTTTATTAGGAATGGCAACATACATGGAACGATACCTTTTAAAATGTACCATTAAACTTAAATTGGAAAGATGTCTAAAGATTTTTTGATTTTACTTATAATTTATAATGCCTTCACTTATGTCTTTACAACTAATGCAGTTTCACACAGACAGAAAGTGAAACACAAGATGCAGTGAGTGAAACAATGACCTGTTTGTAACTAATGTGCACAAAATGTTTTTTTAAAAATCCCCTTTTTTATAAGTTAATTCTGGTTCTCAATGGCACCCATGAATGAGAATGCAAATTGAGATAATTACAATTAAAAGTCTTCCCTCAAATTTATTAACTGAATTTGAACTAATGCCAACTACTCAATCTCTGTATTTTCATATAGCTGTCTTGCCTGTAATAAGTGAAATCTCAATGATTCAAGTGAATAGTTTTAAAGATTTGAATAATATTCTCAGTCTATGAGAAAAGAAAACAAGTGTGCATGTGGGATTATTCCATCTAACACTCCTTTTCCTGAGGCTTCCCAAACCCCTGATATCACCACGAACAACTTCAGATGGATCCATATGTGCTCTGATGTATGTTTTAGTCATTTTTAGTCAATTAAAACACATTATGTTCACAATATACTTATTTAATATAACAATGGCAACATGAAGTTTCTGCTGCATTAGCATTAAAGAAACACTGCTTTCACTTCCCATCTTTATGTTGTTTTATTTCCCCGTTAAAAACAATAGCATTCAGTCGATCTAAAATTAAATGAATCTGGATGCCTTTGAATATAAATAATTTAAGATGTTGCGGTTGGATAAACTCTACATCTGACACTGGCTTTCTGGCTGCTAAAGCTTCCTCTAGACCACACATGGAAATTAAGGCATCAAACCTGAAATCATATTTTGGACAGCCCCTGTAATTAGACTAAATAAGTAGTTCTTTAACAAACCCAGGCTTGATCTCTTAGTGAACACATTACGAAACTGGGTTTCGACAAGAGTGGGGGTGGGTGAGTCAATGTGTGCAAAAAAGAGACAGACAGAGATAAACACAGAGACAGGCTAGACCAAGCATCAAGCCTAGAGGAAGTGACACAGTCCTTTTTCAGGCCAACCCAACTGAGTCAACTCATTGTAGAAATCAGTAAAATAATGTTTCTCTGGAAAACTGGAAACATTGGGACATTCTTGTTGAAATGGGTGTGGTGTAATGGTTAGAAGCTCAAGGCTGGCACCGGAAGGTTGCCATTGTGCCCTCAAGCAAGGCATAATCCCAGGTTGCACCAGGGGAATTGTCAATATCATAAGTCACATGAATATTTACTCATTTGTTGAGGAAGCATCTGTCACCCATTACTTTGAGTTTATTTTGAGTATCATTATGAAAGTATGCAACTATAATAAATGCACTTGAGGGTATAAAAGCAGAAAGATTTGTTGGAGGTTTTAAACTTGAATATTTAATCTTAAACCAAACTCTTTTCTCAGAAAATTTTATTTGACTCCTTATGATATGACCCCTTTTGAAACTGTGTGCATTGCATTTCTCTGTTGTCTTGTATTGCCAGTGTTTTTTTTTTTTTTAAATGAACTGAGGGATGATGGATTGTATTGTACTGTACTGAACCCTGAACATGACTTTGGAAGCACATTATGCAAATCTCATTGTTAGATTTCTCCTTCCATGCAATAATGATAATAAAAAATACATATATTTAAGTAGTTCTCATACCTTCTACCTGTGATGAGGGAGGAGGAGAGGGTGGCCATGCTTTGTCATCAAACTGAACCCAGGAATTCGGCTGCTCTGCCTTCTGACCAGACACAAATGGTACTTCTGCCCAAGTAGAGGAGTCCAGCACAGGCTGGTCTAAAGAAGGCTGGAGGTGGTCCTCATCTTTGGATCAGAAGAAGAAACACAGTTGGAGAAATACAGCCTCTTCTCAGTAAAAAGGTCACAGTTAAATGTTAAATCTAGTAGGGTGCAAGAACTGTGGACCGTTCCCAAGTAATCACTATGGAGCAATGACCTCAGGACGCAGGAATCTCACAGAAAGATCTGAATGCAAACTCAGACAGAGTAAAACAAACTGATATCCACTCAGCAAGTCCTGAAACTATTTTCAGTTACACACAAGAACTTCTTGAACTTTTTCTTTGCCATCTAAAGCATAATTCAACAATCCTCCTATCCAACATCGGACATGGCTTCCCAACTGTCTAAAACTGACAGACTTTAGCCAGGGTATTTAATTTTTGACAAGAATGAAAACAAGGCTGTGAGGGATAGGAGTACAGTTTGTTTGGTGGATTTGTACTATAGTTTAACAACATGCCAATTGTTTAGCTGAAAAAACATCTTCCCAAAGAAACTTTATGTAGTTTCTCTATAAAAACTCCATTTTGAAAGTTGGGAGTTTTGAAATCCACTACCTAGTCTAGTACCTTTATACAGTACATACCATTGTAAAGACTGTAGTCTATCCCACACAGCCTTCATTTGCGTAAAATTCAGTACGGTGTCTGCCCTAACTAAGGTCTATCACTGACTGGTCAAATAGAAACCTCCATTTACATTTATTTGTTTCGCAGACTTTCATCAGCAGAGGATTCAGGGTTCACGTTTCAATAGTTATGTTTGTTCCATGGGAATTTACCCCATAAAACATCTTGTTACTCTAAGTAAACACTATGTTTGTACTGACCTGCCTGTGAACCCTCATCTGAAAAAGCGACCCAGCCTGGTCTGGGTTCAGTCCTGCTACTGGCTGTAGCAGCCATGGGAGTTGTCCTGTCCTGTGTCTTGTACCTTGTAACGTCGCCTCACTCTCCCCAAATCTTGGACTCCATGCCCACCTAGGAAGGTTTCAGAACAGAGAACCATCAGCTATTCATTAGGATTTCATATTCTGATAGGTATCTGCCACAAAATTAATTTTCATTTAAAAAGACATTAAGGAACCTTTGACAAAACAGTTAATGTTGCCAAAAAGATTAAAATTGTTAAAACAAGAAGTAAAATTAGTACATGTTTTTGAAATATCATAAACTGATCATAAACCTGTAATATACTGAAATATTACTACAATTTTAAATGCCTGTTTTCTGTTTGAATACATTATAAAATATAGTTTATTCCAAGGCTGAATTTTTAGCAGCCAATTTTTAGTCTTCAGTGTCACAAGATCCTTCAGTAATCATTTTAATATGCTGATTTGGTGCAGTTGTGAATCAGTGTGAATGTCACAAAACTCAGTTTCAGAATTCAGTAGTTTAAAGCATAACCAAACAGTTGACAGTAGCCATTGACTTTCATAGCATGAAAAAAAACTTGGGAGAAACCAGACTCAATCAGTCAGTTCTCCTCTGGCTTTACAGGATGAGTTATGTTCTACTTGTATTTGTTGAGAATACAAATAGATTACAAATTGGAGGCTTTGACACCACAACCATTGGTACAGGAATAAAATAAGAGGCAGAGAATGGGAATTGGGAAACTCAGGGATGACATGTTTTGTCTAGGCAAAATAAATTTCTCCATAGCAAGTAGTGACAGCAGTAAACACAGAAGGCTTGTGTAAGTGTTTTTGACTGCCAAAAAGAAAACAAACACTTTTAAAACAGGATGGAGGCAGTGCAAAGCCACAGGAAGGACTACTGATAAATGTCTGACAAGTGAAAAGCATTTATAACACAAATAGCTACTACAGCCCCTCTGGCTACTCAGATCAAACATCATTCAAAGAGGAGGCATAAAAGTAGTGCATTTTAAAGGGGTCATATGATGCTTTTTTAAAGAATAGTGAGGTAGATATGTGGGGGCGTGTTAGAACGAGCCGTTTTAGGGGGGCGTGGCAGAGTCTTAACTTTGATAAAGAATATCTCTTTGGTTTTGAGACTTTAGTCTTTGCAACTTCAGGGATCTTATCTATGCACAATCAGCTTGTAACACTCCAAAGAGAAAGGAAAACTTGAAATTGCATCATATGACCCCTTTAAATTAAATCAAAGCTTCAAGGGTCAAGGATCGCTGCACTCTAATGTCTTAAGTGTTCATGAGGAACCAGGTGACAAATGCACCATCGAAAAGTAACAAATGCCCTTCTGCTCACCAAAGAGGAAAAACACAGTGACAAAAGCTGAGAGGCCATTGTGATCAGAATTTTTTTCACATCAGAGAGGGCCTATTTTCTCTCCTAAATCAAGACCATGCAGGAAACACTTTCATAGAGGAAACACACTTGGATGTGCTGAACGATCTGGTAAATTGGGGCCAATTCCATAACATGTTTTTGTTCTGGTAAATCTCTCCTTTGCATTCACAATCCGGCTGCATGCTACCCTTCCTCAGCCCCCTACTTCACACCAAACAAAGCAAGCACCTCCCTCCAACTAGCAAATTCATTCAACATCTCACAACACCCACTGTTTACTGAAAAACTCAATGGTTTGGATGCTATTAGCACTACTATATCCTCAGCCATTTTTTAGTCTGTCATGTGACTATATAAAAGTGATAGTTACTCTTTGAATATTTGCTTCATGTAATGAAATGACAAAAATAAAACCAATTTCACAGGTCCTAAATAATACATAGGTCCATAATGAAACAAAGTCCAAAAAAAAAAAGTTACCACCATTTTCCCACTAAACCTAAACATATAAAATGGCCTGAAAACTAACAATAAAAACACAAAACTCTAATTATGAATTCATAGGGTTCATATTAAGTCAGATATGAATGGAAAGAATAGATAAAAACTCAGTCACTTACTCCGTAATCATTTCAATGTACTCACTGATGAGTTTGAGTCTGTGAGATTTGTGAACCTGTTTGACCGATTCAAATCTTACAAACACACACCTGCAAATAAAGTTGCTCCATCTGACTACATTTAAAAAAAAATCTGAAATATTTTCATTCTGGCCATTTTAGTTGCACTCTGTCTGGAGCCTTTAGAGTGTGTAGCCAGAATTTCAAAGCAACAACACTGATGTTTGCAGCTCCAAAATCTTACAAAACTCCGATCCACTTCTCAGACTCCAACAGGCTTGGGCTCTGGCAGTCTGTCAGTTATGTCAGTGGTGCATGCAGGCATCCACAAGATATGTGCACAATATTGGGACGTTTGGCAGAACTGGTCTGCGGAACTCTTTTACTGTGTCAAATCTCTCTCTCTCTCGCACGACCATCCCAAAGCTCATGATCATGCATGACATCATCATTCGGACTGTGCTTTAGACCCTGCATAATTTCCTGCTGTCAGTGCTCACAGTCACAGTGAGTTTGCCTCACACAGTCCAAGTTTTAACGCTTTACCAAAAAAAAATTATAATAATTAGCTAGGAGTAAAAACAAACACATCAAACAGGAAAACAGTGTCCAGAAACGCAGGAATAAACTGTTATTATCTATGTGGTAGTTCTGCTATGTCAAGTCACAGCTAGACCTCAAAAATACATGGTGGTCACGGTCTACACATCAGGGGATGTGTGACAGTAGTGTAGAACACAACAAGCATCAGGTGTCATCATGAGGAGCCAACAGGGCTCGGTTCAGCCTCCTATTGGGCCAGGACAGCAATGATCCAAAGCATCTCAATCAAGCACCCCAATATAAATATTGCATTTCTTCAGTTATCATGACTATGCAGTGCTGTTATTATTATTAACTACCACTAAAATTAAAATGATAATTGTTAATTGAAATAAAGCTGAAACGATTAAAAACTTTTCAACAAATATTTCTATTTAGCTTTAATTTATATTTGTTTTACTTTTAGCAATTTTAGTTAGGCTAAACGCAAACATTTTATTTCAAGGCAAGTTTAAGTTTTTATTTGAAAAAAATTACAGAAACTAAAACTAAAATAATTAAAACTCATTTACATTAATTAAAATATGATGTAAAATAATGATGTATGATGTATTTAAAACAATGATGTAAAAACATCAACATTAACATTCAACTTAAAAAAATTGTCCCAGCAACTAACTGAAATAAAATAAGTTTAAAAAAATTGTATAAAACAAATATAAATTAAAGCTAAAAATAAATATTTCAAAAAAAGAAATCAATTAAAATTAAAACTGAAAATAAAATAACAGCTAATTCAAAATATATAAAAAAAATTTAAAAAAACACAAAAGTATCACAATAAAATTTAAATAACACTGGGTCTAATGTAGAAATCAATTTGATATGATAAATAAAATTCATAGCAATCAGTCAGACCTGCAGTACGATTTTAAAAAATTCAAGTAGATGGTAGTTTTACAGCATGACAAAAAGAGGTGTTCCAGACAGCTTAATTATAATTGAAGAGATCGAGATTTGGGTGTTAGTTTTGTTTTGCATCTGTCTTGCCAGATTATGTTGTTGTTGTTTTGAAATGTATATGGTGAGGACTAGAGGTCGACCGATAGTGGATTTTGCCGATACCGATAGCTAGGTTGGACCACACTGGCCGATACCGATTAACCGATAGTTTTAAAATTCATACTGAACAAAAAATAGTGCTTTATTAACAAAAACAGTACTGAACCATACTAGTAGGAGTAGTAAAATAAAGAATAATAATAGTAATAGTAAATGTTGAAATTAACCCACTCTAACAAGGAAACAGTACTTACACAGCTTTCATTAATCTTAATGTTACAACTGGGCTCTTATTTTAAAGTGTTACCATTTCATTTCAACTGTCATGATTAAAGATGCA